ACATGTGTTGGGCCTCGGTGGAACAGCTGCAGGGTGAACAAGTACAGGTGAAAACTGTGATTGGAGTCACCTGTTGGCCCACCAGCAGACTCATGGAATACTTGGAAAGTTAAGCTAATCCAGGGACTCTCCTAAACAGTCAGTGATATTTGTGTTGTAGAAGTAGAAATTTTGGTAGTTTCGATTATACCCTCTGCTGAGAAGACCACAGCAACTTGTGTGTGTGTGTGTCTCTGTGTGTGTGTGTGTGTGTGTGTCTGTGTGTGCACGTGTGTGTGTGTGTGTGTGTGTGTGTGATTCAAAAGCAATGCGATGCTAACTTGAGTTGCAGGCCCAGAGAGGTAAGCTCAGTGTTCCAGAGACCAGCAAACTGAGTAACTATTGTGATGCCTTCAGTGCCCTTTCTGAGAAAGCCTCTTACTTTGGAGGTACTGAAGTATCTGGATCTTTGAAGAGAAAACTAGGAGTGAGCAGCTAAATGAACTGCCTGGCAACGTGCTTTCATAACACTGACACAACGCTACTTTGAAATTAGAATAATTTGTCCTGGACTAGCAGAAGCAAACAAACAAGCAAATCTTACAAGCATCATTGAATCAAAGGCTAGGAAAGAGAAAAAAGAAACAGCCACATGCCACCTAAGAAGGAAAGAAACAGCAGTCACTGGGGGTGGTGGGCAAAGAGGCTGCAGTTCACAAGAAAAGGTTGTGATCATAAAATAGTCCTGCTGATGATTTACATAAGAAGACACAGCAAGCTTTTTAACATGAGAACTATAACCAAGTGGTATTGCAGATTTGGATACGAACCAAACAGAAATGCTAGCGCTGAAGACACTGAGTGAAATGAAAAACACAGGAGAAAGCAAAAAGCCTGGCTGAAGAATGCAGCGGCTCCGGGGCTCTGGCAAGAAGAAATGCGGAAGTCAGAACTGAGCGCAAACACACAGACTGAGCACAGCGAGCTATTCTGTAATGAAGTGGAAGCTTCAAAGGGGAGATGGAGAAGAGGCTTTTGTTTTAAGTGGTAATCATGGCAAATATCCACAAATCAATACAAGATATTGCTTCATAAATTTTAGAATCCTAATAAAACTCTGGAAAAGAAAAGAAATTTACATAAGGACACACTTTGCTAGAAATGCTGAAAACACAAGGCAAAGATAAGAGACTGAAAAGTAGGCAGCCAGGTGTTTAGAGAAGGTGCTCCTTAAAGGACTGGAAAGCAAGCAATGTTAAGAGCTGGTGTCTCATAGGGGATGGCACAAAGGACCATTCTGCAGGTTCTGAAAGAGAATGACCAGGTGGAGCTTCTCAGTCCCAGAGAAATATACCCAGATGTTAGAAACATGTAAACAGGTAAATACACAGAAACAGAGTGTGCATGCAGACCCGCACTGAACAAATGCTTAACTATTTCAGAAAGAAAGAAAAGCAGTGCACAGGAAGGTCTGAGACTGAAGAAGAAATGTTGTGATCATAGGAGCCTCTGAGTGCAAGGTAGCAATTAAAGAGTTAAGAAAATTAAATGCCCGCCAAGTGTGAGGAGTGGGGAGAATGGATCAAACATTCTAAATCAAGCCATCCTTCACTGTAAGAGGAAATTGCTGATTATTATTTAATTTTCATGAATAAATGGTTGCTGTAATTTCTAGTACTATCCTTACATAATGAATAAAATAGCATGTGCCTTGCAAACCAACTTAGAGAAAAATAGACATCTGACCAACCACACCCACAGCAGATGCCCCCACCCCCATTCATTCCTGTGAAATGTGCTGTGACTCCCTCTTCATGCAATTTGGAAGAGGAAGAAAAGGCCTTGGTGCCAGCCAGGAGGGAGTTTATCTCCTGGAAAGAGATTTTACATTATAACTTGAAGGACAGACTTGGAGCCAGGAGCTGACACAAGGATGTGTCAGGGATGAGTCAGTGATGGGAGGCACTAGGGCTGCTTAGTTATGCATAACTCTTGCCCTCTGTGTAAGCCTAAACCTCATGTCAGGACCCCAAAGATAGACCTGGGAGAGCATTGGCCCTTTTTATTTGTTCTTCCCAGTGTGGCCATAGTGAATAAATCCTTCTCTGCTTCGCAATTACTTATCTTTGTGTAACTGACTTACTGAGGATAGAGGCCAAGCCTAGCTTGGTCGGGTTGCTAGACCCAAGGCTTTGATCAAAATGATATCAGCAGATATTCAGGTTTAGTAGGCACCTGTAGCATGTTCTGGGTTCTTGGATCCTGGAACAAAGACATGTAGATTTCAGCAGAGGCCGGGACAGGTTATTAGTGAAAGATACACTTCTGCTGGAACAGAGCCAAATGTAAAAGTTCAGTAGCAAGGCCTATACAAAATATATGTCACCTAGGCCAGGTTTAGGGGACGTTGCATAACTCTGGCTTTTCCATGTGCGCTCTTCTACATGCAGTTCTACATAAAAATTCATGCGTCCTGTCCCATGTCTCACTGACATCTTAAATCTCCACCCAGGCATGTGCATCTTAGTATTATAATGAGCCACAGGTCACTTCTAACAATCTGGAGTATCTCTGTGTCTGCACAGCAAGGATGAGAACTGCCGAGTAAGGTTTTGTTACTGAAGTTGTTAGGGTCAAAGCCTGGAGCCTGGCAGCCCTAAGTCCTCAAAAGGTCAATTAAAGAAATAAGTAGAGGTAAAAAGCAGAGAGATGGCTCGGCAGTTAAGGACACTGGCTGTTCTTGCAGAAGACCCAGATTTGAATCCCAGCACCCACATGGCAGCTAACAACTGTTCACAACTCCAGTTCCAGGGGATCTGACAGCCTCTTCTGTCCTTCTCGGGACTTGCACAACACAGGTGCACTTACCTACATGTAGGCAATACACTCATACACATAAAATAAAAATAATAATTAAAATATTTTTTTAAAAAGGCAGAGAAAGATTTATTCTGTGTTGTAACTTGGGGAAGAAGAACAAAGAGGCCCAGGGCCCCCTTCCCACCACTTGGTGTTTGTCCTCATATGGAGGACAAGCCCTATGCATAACTACGCAGTCCTGGTCACACCACCATTACCCATCATCCTTGTCTGGGCTCCAGGCTTTCCTACAAAGTGGACTGAATAAACGGTTAGAAGTATGTGAAATCTCTTCCTGGGGGATACCTCTATATGAATGCAAACTTCATCAGGAATTTCTCAGGAAACTCATGGTGACAAAACAGAGTTCAGCAAGTCAGTAAGTTGTCCTTTGACCTTCACATGTGTGTGCATGCGTGCACACACACACACACACACACACATACACAAAGACACACACTAAATAAATGTCATTTAAAAAGATATGTCTAAAACAGAAGTACAAAAGAGGAAAGATATAAACAGAGAAAGAAATTAAACCAGAAAATAAAGGGAAACCAATCAAAACCAGACTTTAAACAGGATACAAATGAAAAATCAAAAGACCTTAAAACACATGACAGAGTACATGAAATCTTGGAGGGGGTTCTATAAGAGGAATGCAGACATGGAAGACAGTCTAAATATGATCAAAATATATTGTATGAGATTTTCAAAAATTCAACTAAAAATAAAAATTAATTAAAATAAAAAGAATTATCTCAAAAAGTGAATAAAAATAAAATAAAAATTGTTATGGAAAATTAATTTTACCTAAATATATAATAACCTACTTTTATGCATTTAATTAAGGTAAACTTTAAATATTTCAAATAATACCTGACAGAAATAAGGAGAAACTGATAAAGCTGTGTCTGCATTAAGTGAGTGTTACATGAATCTTAGTAGAAGATCATGTCCGCAGAGGAGAATGGGGTTCTCTCTTAGGGTTCTTAGTCTCAGTAAGAGTGGACTCCAATGGAAGATTTAGGGCAATTTTACTAGTTAAAAGAAAAATCCTCAGGGCAGGCAGCTGTAAATCTCAGCAGCTGTCCTGAGAAGGAGCATGGAGGAGAGAAGGAAAAAAGTCAAAAAGCCATGTAAGTCTTGAGTTGTTTCCCAGGCAACTAGCAGTCACTTAGAGGTGAGGGGAGATTTTTAAAAAATAAGTAAAGAAACCCAAAATGTTGGGCATTCCAAAGTGCTAAGGAAAGCATAATCAGAAAATAGGAGGCAGACAGTGAGATATGTTTTTCCAGAGAATTCATAAAATTGAGCAGACTTACAGAAAGCCACAGTCTATGGCCTGGTCCACTAAGGGGGATGGATCTTCTGGACAGGAAAAGTTCACTGTCTCATTAACACCCTAGGTATTCTGCCTGTCTCTTTAGCATGGCTTAAGGTGAACCTTCTTTCCTAGGGGTGGTCCTGTGAACAGGAGATTAACACATCCAGGCCAGAGATCACCACTCTGCTGACCAGCTTTCTCCCATGGAGCCTTTCTTGTTACTGTAACACAAGGAGGGGCATGCTGACACAGGCTTCACAGAGCAGGGTTTTCAAGGAGGTTTAGAACATTATAAAGTTACACAAAATGTTATTATTCCATGACAGACCACACATCAGGCCTCAGTACATTTCTTTCTCAATTAAATTTCAGATCCTCCACTTAATCTCAGATATGAAAGGGGTAATATGAAAAATATTATAGCAAAAGATTTAGTGATCTATGTGAAATGCACAAATTCTTGAAAGAGAGAAATAACCAAATCACATTCAGGCATGCAGCAGTACCCCGAGGGAAGAGATTTCAGGGGAAAATGAATCTGCTGTTATCAGCACCTACAAGACAAAGTCCATCACTCGGTATTTCAAAGGTAAACTCTATCAAATACTTAGAGGAAATTTCAAGTTTGTTTGGACAAACTATTATTTGATTACAAAAGAATATTTCACAAATCATTCTATGAAACCAACATTGACCTAATTCCCAAATCAGAGATATAAGATAAAAATAACTACAGCCACAAACCAAGATGCTTTGGGAACACAGAGAGAAAAGTTCTAATTTTTCTTAAAATCTCTAAACTTTAGAAGAAATTCTAAAATTTCAGTCAGTGGAATCCAGCAATCTACCAAAAGGTACTTTTTTATTAGTTTGTTACAGAATTCGAAAGCGTTTGACAATCCAGTTTTATGACCCCTCTAGGCAAATTAAGAATCAAAGGAATCCTTTGGATCTGAAACGGGCATCTGTGAAATACAAATAACGCGTTGGATCCTGAAGGTTGACATGTTCCTCCAGTCTCACAAATGCAGTTCACCCAGAATGTTCAAGTAAACTCTGAAAAAAACTGAAGGAATAGTCCTGCTTAGTTTCACAGCATACCAAGCTAAGTGAATCAAGAGAGCAGTGTTCACATTAAGACAAATGTCAGTCGGCAGATATAGAATGGAGATCGCACCTGCACTGGCACATCTGACTGACTTTTGAAACTGAGTCTTGCCATATAGACCAGGCTGGGCACACACTCACAGTGTAAGCCAGGGTTGGTCTTAAATTCAGTCTTCCTGTCTTTACCTCCAGAGTGCTAGGATTATAAATGTGCTGCCGCACTGGCACGATGTTTGCTTAATGAATTTTTGATAAAGATACAAAGAGAAGACAACAGTCTTTTTGAACAGATGGTGTTAGAATCAGATCTGCATTTGAAAAGACATTTATTGTAGCACATCCAACAATTAACACAAATAGATTACAGACCCACATACAATCCTAAAATTTTAAAATTTCAAGAAGAAAACAGAGAAGTAACCATTTGGTTTTTGTTTCCCATTTTTTATCTGTTACCTTACTCTTGAGAGTTTCATACATGTATAGAATGAAATGTAATCAGATACACTCCCACTCCCAATTTCCCCTTCTAATCCCTCTATTTCCTCACTCGCTTCATATTGATACAGTAGAGAAACAGGGTTCCCTGAGAGGGTCTGTAGTCTCATTCATAAAAGAATTTAAGAATGGATTCCAACAGGGGCTTTAGGACAATTTTATTAGAATTGAAAGAAATACTCTCAGGGCAGACAAGCCATAAATCTCAGCAGCCGCCTTGAGAACGGTGATGGAAGAGAGAAGGAAAAATGTCATAAAGCTGTGCCTATTTAGAGCTGGCATGCAGATCAAACACCCAAAGGCAGACTAGCAGTCACAGGCCTGGAAGGGGAAGGGAACTTTAGAGAAAAAGGTAAAGAAACCCAAACTGTTGAGGCAGCCCAAAGCACTAGGGAAAGCACAGTTAGAAAAGAACTACAAAGTGGGCAGACTTACAGAGAGCTCATGTGTGTGACCTGCCAGGTCCACAAGAATGGCACCAAAGCATGGGGATTCCAGGCAGAAAAGTCAACCATCTCATTAAGCACTAGGTATTCCACTCATCTCTTTAGCATGACTTAAGATGAACCTGCCTTCCTAGAGGTAGTCTCATGACCAGGTGATTGACTAGCAAAACTGGAAAAGTGGGTCTTCATCCAGGTCAGAGATTTTATTCTCCTCACCAGTGTTCTCTCAGGGGGCCCCTGGCTACTCTAACAATATCTTCTTTTTATTTTCAGTAACCCACTAAGTCCAGCTAGTGCCACCCATATGCTCACATGTGTGGTGCCATCCACTGACTGAAGCACCGGGAACCTACCAGTGAACTCACCCTCCAAGAAGAAAGATGCCCCCTTGTACACACCCAGCAACAATCAACTTCCAATAGCTCCTCAGTAAGGGGTGGGGCCTGGAATCAGCTCCCTTATCTCTGCTGGAATTTTGACCATCTTGAGTTTGTGCAGGTCTTGTTCAGGTAAACACAGCAGCTGTGAGTTCACAATGTCCACATCAGTCCACAAGACATTTCACGGCACTCCTCCCCATCCTTCAGCTCCTACTTTCTTTCTACCTCCTCTTCTGTGATGAGCCTCAGATATGGGTAGGGGATTGATAAAGATATCCCACTTTGGGCTGAGCACTCAGTGGGCTGAGAAGACTCAGCACTTGGACCAGTCTCTGCATTGACTATTGATAATAACTGCAAAAAAAAAAGAAAGCTTCTCTGAGTAGTAACATAAGTGCTTAAAGGCAACTTGACAACATGACCATTTATGTAAGTAATGCTAGCAAGTCCTCCCCAGGACTATGACCTCCTCAGCTGGGAACTTTTGGACAAGATTACAGTATGGGGTATGAAATTAAATCTTCTGGAGCAGGCTCTCAAATCTAATCAGAAAGTGGTTAGTTACTCCAACTACAGCAATGCCAGTATTGCACCTACAGGCACTTGCCTAGCAGGTAGGTATTATAGAATGCAGAGTCTAGCTCTGGGTAAGGCCTTTGATATCTTTTCTCCATTGATGTCTTTTCTCTCCCAGAGGCCTGCATAGCACCTTCAAGCACAATAAAAGCTGGTCAGCAGGGAGGGAATTTCTTAGTCAGTTTGAGATTGATTTTTCTATGTCCTGTAGCTAAAGTCTGTGGTGTCTGCAGCAATACTGGTCTACTCTGTAGTTAAGGTGGCTAACCAAGGCCAATGGCAATAGCTCATGTAGTTCTGGAGGCCTCTGGGAACTCCTTGGTTAAGAAGTCATAGGGCAGCATCCCCTGGCTTGCCCTGCGATTTCCATTTAACAGCTCATATCTTCTGGTAGCCGCCTTGTCCACCCATGCAGGTTACTTCTGTTTGAACTCATTGTTTTGAAAGGTTACATTTTGAAGTTAGCTTACTAACTAGTGGCTTTCTATAAGGATTTTTCATACATCCTTAGGTTAGCATACCCATTACCTTCTCCTCTCCCCCCACCCTAACCCCTAATCCCCACTTAAAAATTTACTCTAGTATTTCCCCCTCTTCTTTCATATTGCATCCTCCAGTTATATTTTTAATTGGATTGTGAGATAAAAGGGTTCCATATGGCTTCTTCAGACCTCTTCCTCTGTGTTAGCTCACCCACCCATCCCATGATTTCCCCTATTCTCACACTTCCCTCCCTACTTAAGCCTTTCTACATCCAGTGTGCCACCTCTCTACTTTCATTTTACCTACAACCTACTATCTACACTGCCATGATGTATCCCAGTTTCTAGTCACCCTGCATGTCTGTTGATGTTATAGTAGAACAAGGAAAAGGCTGTGCCTTGGGGATTTCACTTTCCCCTCTGTTTATTAAGTGCCCAGTAAACAGTGAGTGCTTAATATGTGTTCTCAGAGAGATATGTGCCCACTAAGGTTCACTTGGAGGGTCCTCAACTTGTCAGAAGAGAAAAAGCTGAGAAATTCCTGAGAGAGGTCAAAAAGGTGCCCAAGAAGAGTGTCCCCACAGAACACTGTGTCAGTTCATCCTGCAGGCTCCCATGGGAGGATGCTGGGGAAGAGAGAGAGAATGGGGGAACAGGAAAAAGAAAATAGCATTTATCAAAGATGTGATGCTTGAGGATGGCTCTCTTTGAAATCAAGCTTCTTATCTTACATGCATCTTCAAAATGTTTGGACAGACACTGGATGGCATGCTGTAAACCAAGAGCCACCTCAGAGAAGCTTCACAATCCCAAGAGTGTAGAAAGAAAATATTCAGTTCCTACCTCTTGAGGGTGACTAAATCCAGATCCAGCTGCCACTTGGATCAGATGTTTTAGAGAGAAGGCATGGATTACATGGGGAATCAGCCTAAGTGATATCAAGTTGGATCTAGGCCTGAAATTCCCTAGTCATCTGAGGCCTTCCTAAGAGCCTGTGAAACAAAGAAGCAGTGTTACTTAGTGTCTAACATTTGGGGTTTTGGCTAGTTATCTGAATCCCCATTTTGCTCTACATTTCTGCCTGCGACCTTAAGAAAATCATTGGCCTTTTTCCTACTGGCTCTATAGAGTGGTTTTGAAGCTTAGTTGAAACCCCCTTTAAGACACTGACTAAGGCACCACCAGTCACCTGAGTAAGAAGATTCCTATATTCTCTAATGTCAGCACATTTCCTGCAAAAGTGAAAGCAAACAGTGGTAGATAATGAAAGGATCCTGTTCCAATGCATCTTCATCACCAAAGCAGCTTGTTTATCAGTTGCCTCCTTTATTAGAAATACACTGTACTACAGAGATGGCTCAGCAGTTAAGAGCACTTGTTGCTCTTGCTGAGGACTGGGCTTTGGTTTCCAACACCCACACAGCTGCTAACAACCATTTGTAACTCCAGTTCCAGAGGATCTGACACCCCTTTCTGACAACTGCAGGCATTGTATGACATAGGTGCACTTACATACTTGCACACAAAACATTCATACACATAAAAATAAGTAAAATTTAAAAAAAGAAATGTACTTTGTGGAAAATACTACTGAATTTCAAGAATGATCATCCTGAATTTGAACAAATTCAGGGGAGGGGCTTTCCAAATTTACAGAGTCTAAAATGCAGGACAGTGCAATTTTATTACTTGTTAAATGATAGTAATAAAATCCACTGGACAAGCAGATACACCCACTTTTAAATCACTGAGTTCTCTGAAATTCTGCCATTCACCCACCAGCATGAGAAGAAAACACATTCTCAGGTCATCCACATCCCAAGACCCTGAACTTTTGTTCTGGTCTTTCACCTTTGAAAGCAAGTTTTAATTGTGCATGCAGAAGGAAATTGGAGCTCTAGATGGTGGCTTTTCTGGAGCTCTAAGCTTTGTTCAATGCACAAATTAATCTTCACTGCTCCCCCCACCCACTTCGGCCTTCACTGCTCAGATGCTGTACACAAAGATGAGGCGCATCTCAGCCCACACATAACCAGCAGAGCAATTGCTTTAGAAGATTCAGGGCAGTTTTCTAGCTAACTAGACATGGAGTTTTCCAGATTTAATTAAATATAAAGCTGTCCTCTTTTGTCCTCATGTGGGCCGTCCTTGAAAAGTCATTTAATGTGGTGTACTTTTCCATCTGAAATCCTTAGACTTCTTGTTTACCATTCTTAGCAACCTGTATTTAAAAGAACAAGGTGTAGTATCAGAGATCCCAGGTATCAGTGATTCCCAGATGAGGGTACAACACAAAATCTTAAAAAAGAGAGAAAATTAGTTTAATAAGATTCTAGACAAAAAAAAAAGTCATTTCAAAACTGTGTTAGTAACTGTCAAATGCATGGTAACAGTTAGCATTAAGAAGTCATGTTAGTATTCAAATGCTTATTTCACACTGAGTCACCCAAGTTATGTGTCATTGGCAAAAGAAATAACAGCACTGTTTAACTGCCTCAAAGAACTGAACAAGTAGAATCCAAAGATATAGGTCTTCTGAAAAACATTATTTCAACATTGTACATGCTGTTTCCAGCTAAAGCTGTGTGTGGCAAGAGAAATCTTGTCTCACTAGAAACCATGAAGCATTGAAGAATATTTGGTTGGTATTGAAAGAACTCCTGAGCAAAACCGAAGCGGCTCATATTCGGAAACAGCTGGAGCATTGACATGGATTAGACTTATAACAGACAGAAAAGGGTCATGTACACAATACTCAGCACGCAGGAGTACAGGTCACCTCCAGAGGATTCTTGGGACTCAACTTGCTGTGTGAGATTAAGGGAGAAGATGAAAAATTGAACTGGCCTTTCCTGTGCAATTTATCATGTTGGTTAACCGAATAGTGGATAGAGGTTAAATGTCCAGTTATCGGAGTATTTTATGCGGCAACAATGGAGGAAAAAGTATCCTTAAAATATCAGGATTTTGCAACTTCTAATGCAGTAATGGATCTACACAAGGGCTGTCCCAGAGGCACTCATTTCCCACAGAGGCAGTGTTTACCCCGACAGATAATACACAACTCCTAGCTGAATTCTTAGCAAACATTGTAGGTAGAATCTGGTCCTGCATTTTGTAGGGAATGGAAGGACCAGAGGGACAGGCTAGGTGGCAACATGGTAAGGAGTGAGCAAATCCAGACCCTGGGAACGCATGATGAGCACTTGGTTTCCATCAACAACTAAACCACAAGAAGAAATAAAATGGAGAAAGGGAGACATCTGTAGTTTAAAAGAGACAAAAGGAACTCGTGGATCTATTGTAATCTACTCCCCCAACTCAGATTTCCAGCTTGATTTGTGTACTGTTCAATATATTCCTACTTTTATAAACATCTTCACAGTTTTGATAACTGCATTATACCATGCCTCTGATCTTCAGTATTTGGTTTATTATGCTACTTGCTTCAAACACATATCATAAATACACTAACTGCACTGCATGGGCCTGTTGTTTCTGTCTATAGACTGTGAAGGAATCTCATCACCCCAGGGGCCATCTGTGTTCCAAGCCTTGGGTGACACTTCTCTCCCTGCTCACCCAAAGCCAGGACAACTTCTCTCTGAATCAGTGTCCGAGTGGAGACTGCGAACTATGCAGGATATCACAGGCTCTCCAATCTGTACTTCAAAACCAAGGAATTGTATTTGGATTACATTTCTTTATTAATATTCCAAATAATTAAGATTTTCCTTCTGTGATTCTCAGTGTTCACTTAGTTTTTAGTTAAGAAAACTTTAATCTTTGCACTTTTTCATTTCAGCTGTTATTTCTTCTGATTATAGTGATATATACAATCTAGTCTTGATGTGGACCAAGCTTAAGTCAACCTACTGAGAGTCATGGCTGGACGCTCTGTCTACCAAATCAAAGAAAGAAAAAGGGAGGGAGGGAGGGGAAAGAAAGAAAGAAAGAAAGAAAGAAAGAAAGAAAGAAAGAAAGAAAGAAAGAAAGAAAGAAAGAAAGAGAGAAAGGGGAAACAGAAAGAAAACAGAGAGAAAGGAAGCATCTCAAACTGTAAAACTCACCCCCTTTTGTCTACAAGCAGGACCTCAGCAATCCAGTCCACTCCCTCAGCTTGTTCTTTAGCACATTCAGCTCTGGAAGCAGAGGCAGCTCTCTGGGTCCACTAGTGTAAGGTCACTAACCCTACTGTGCCTGTCATCAGTCACCTTCCATAGACCACGCCGGAACTTTGACACCTCAGAGGCTGGATTTCAACATAGGGATTTTGGAGGATCACAAGCATTCAGATCTTAGCTTGGGAACATAGGCATACTGAATTAGGGACCAGCCCACTCCTGTCTGACACCATCTAATCTTAATTACTACTGCAATAAGTATATTTCCAATGAAGACAACATTCTTGGATCTGAAGTTGGTAGGGCTACCTTCCTTATAAGAATCTCACTTTCTGTTCAACAATTCATCCCATAGCAGATCCCCCAACCCTTATTGCCCTTCTCTCTTTGGGGAGAGGCCGAAGCCTCTGAGCTAACTTGAGGCTTTGTTTTCCACTATTAGCAAGCCAGCCTTTCCTTCTGCCTTTGTGTCTTTAAATCAATATTCTCTACTTTTATTCTCCAGAATTTTCTGTGTTCTCTAATCCACTGGCTTATTTTCATAACCCCAGATGTCATGTGTTTGGGAGCATCTAAGCACTTATTTCTGAACATTTCTTATCTTACTTGCTTTTAGTACAAGTTCATGAGTTTGGAATAGACTATAGTTTAGAGATAAAGAGTCTAACTACCAAGTAGTTAGAGCAAAGTCAAAGAGATGATATATATCTCACCAAGATCGTATTCTGAAGCATGCGTTAAAGATAATGGGCAATGAAGCTAAGGTTTACTGAGATTCTATGAGTTAGAGTGACAAATTTAAAAGCTATATAAATTCTAAATTCCATTTCCAAACCTCATCGCCAAGAATAATTTTATTTGGCTTTGCACATCTATGTTTATTGCAGCACTGTCCACAATAGCGAAGTTGCAGTGGAGCACAGTGGTTCTTAATGATTTTGCTAGAAGGCTCACCAGATTCTCACTTTAGCTTATCTCTTTGCTGGAGCTGGCCTTGGGGAAATCAGCACAATTTGAATGTCTTGCTTGTGTAACAGGGGTAAAAATATTCTCTCTCCAAGAAAGTCTGCCAAGGGATTGAATAAAGTAGAATATTTAGGCCTTAAACAGTGCCTGAGCCAGTAGGATGGCTCAGCAGGTACAGGTGCTTGCCACCAAGCCTGATGACCTGAGTTTGATACCTGGGACCCACACCAGTAACTGATGCCTTCAAGTTGTCCTTTGGTTTCCATGTGTGCATCTTGTTTCACGCACATGCCTTCCCCTACCCCTGTAAGCAAATAAAAAAATTTTTTGTCTTTTTGAGACAGGGTCTCCCTGTAGCCCCAGCTGTCCTGGAACTCACTATGTAGACCAGGCTGGCCTCAAACTCACAGAGAACCACCTGCCTCTGCCTCCCATGTGCTGGGATTAAAGGTGTGCACCACCACACCCAGCTAAAATATTTTTAAATGTAAAAAAATAAAATTTAAAAAATAGTACCTGGGAGATCTAAACCGTCAGTACAATAAAATATTTTTAAATGTAAAAAATAAAATTTAAAAAATAGTACCTGGGAGATCTAAACCGTCAGTACAATGGACTTTCCTGGCTTTTGTTCAATTGTTGAGTTCATTGAGCAGTGTAGAAGCTAAGAATGCACTGAACAGGATGCTACCAGATTGAGTTATACAGTCTTCCTGAGCAAGGCTGCTTAAGTACACCTTAATCAGTCAGTCATGGGTCAGTTCTTTATATATATTTTCTCAAATGGATGATGAAAGGAAAATAAGAGCTTATGAAGGATGCTGGAGAAGCACAGGGTTCCCTCTGTTCAGAAACAATTCAGTTTCTACCAAAACACACCTATAGACAATTTGTTAGGAAAAGAATAATTCAATGTTCTTAAAAAGTTTAATATTTTATTATCTTTATTTTATTTATGTGTATGAATATTATGCCTGCATGCATGTAAGTGCACCTGTCATGCAATGCCCGTGCAGGCCAGAAGAGGGCGTCGGATCCCCTGGAACTGGAGTTATAGATGGTTGTTAGTTGCCATGTGGGTGCTGGGAATTGAACCCAGGTCCTCTCTGAGAGCATCCAGTGTTCTTATCCACTGAGCCATCTCTTTAGCTCCCCTAAAAAAGTTCTTGATAATCAGTAGGGTAATGTTTTCACCAACCTCAAATTTTCCTCATGGCAAGAACTTTTTCCTAGAAGAGTTGCTATTTCCTCCCATATTGATTTGGGAGATCATAAATCTCACTGGGAACTTGTCCTAATGACAATTCCATTTCTAGGGAACATGCATGCTTTCCACAGCTGTTCATTCTGCATGGAATAACAGCTGGCACCTAGATGTGTGCAAGATTTGCACATTACTTATCGTCCAAGTCAGAGTCCATACTGACTGAATGTGTACTTCCTTAATGAATTATATCACCAAACACATCTATATACTAGATTCTTGTTTGAGTGGCAGCCATGTGAGGCAGAAGATTGTGCTGGTGGAGAATCTACCCTGTGTTTCCATCTTTATAAGGGATGGCTGTCAGAGTGTGCTCAGAATGTTATTAACAGTCGATATGAGTCTTTAGGAATCTGTCTGGCCAGGCCCTTGCATTGGGCTGATTGTCAATCAAGTTTGCAGAGGAAGAACTGTGTCAGCAGCTCAGTCCTGGGTATCAAACAGACACAAGGTCCCCATATTCATCTTTACTGCACCCTATCCTACCAGTACCAACACTGCTTTTCTTAAATCATTTCCTTTCCCCACCCCGTAAAGTCATGCATCAATTGAAAGGCTCAAAGTCCATTGTAATAGTCTTAAAATTGACTGTACCCCCTTATCCCTATTCATAAAAGAAGCTGCTAGAATATTTTACCCAAAGCATGACACCAGTGTGTGTTCAGGGGCAATCTGCTGTCTAAGGATAAGGATGAGTCCAGAGTCCTCCCTTTTTGTGGTCAAGATCCTCTTCAACATGAAGTCTGTTACTTTCAGGATAATCTCCTCACCTGCAGCCTCAGCACCTGCTGCCACCTCCACCTGCCCATCCTCTGCTCCTCTCTGCCCATACTATGCCCAGCGTACCTCCAATGTTACATTTTCTTTTCTCTACAATTCTCACCTTCCCTGCCTTCAGCAAGATCCTGATCTACCTGTGATGATGATCAGCCTGTCAACTTAATACAACCTGGAATGAATCACCTAAGAAGAGAATCTCAATGAAGAATTGTCTACATCAGCTTGGCCTGTCTATGGGGGGGTGGTGGTCTTGATTGCTCTAATTGGTTTGGCTGTGGTTGGCAGTGGAGGTGGTCTTTCTGAGACAGGGTCTCCCTCTAGTCCCAGCTGACTTGAAACTCCCTAAGTAGATCAGGTTAGACTCCATCTCACAGAGACCTGCCTGCCTTTGCCTCCTGAGTGCTGGGATTAAAAGCCTGTGACACCACTCCTGGCTTGATTTCCTTAACCAAGGTTCAAAGACCCCACCTGAAAGTGGGCTGCACCACTCCCTGGTTTGGGCCCTGGACTGTACAAGAACAGAGCAAGCTAGCTGAACACTACACAGGCACATATTCCTTGCTCTCTGCTCTTGACCATGCACATCGTGTGACCATCTGCCTCACGCTCTTGCCACTGTGACTTTGCCACAGTGATGGACTGAAACCTGGAATTGTGAACTAAGAGAAATCTTTTCTCTCCTAAGTTGCTTTTCATCTGGATATTTTCTTTTTTTCTTCACTACAGAAATGAAACTAGGACACCACCCTGTCCAGCAGGGCAGCATCATGTCACGTGACCCTTTGATACTCTGTCTCTTCTGGGCTTGTATGTGAACACATTAATAAATAACCATTTTTCTTTTAAAGGAGAATTTCACCTCCTGCCAAAGGAAAATGAATGTTAGGGCTGGGTTTAAAGTTCCTAACCCATAAATTTTGCACAGGCTCAGAACTTTATAAACATTCATATTCCCTATAGCTAACTAAGGAAAAAGGAGAAGCAAAAGAAAAAGTAGAGCTTCCATCCAACAGTCACTACCTGAGTAGTTGGCTGTCAGGCTGATTCAATTTTAATGACTTACCCATGTGTGGGAAGAGAAAGAGATGCGGCCTTCACTCTTCATGTGTTTTACTTCTGGCAAATGTTTCCTCTGGCAAATGTGGAAACTCTTGCAACAGTCATGAATTTTTTTTTTAAAAAGGCTGCAAAGTTTCCATTTGAAACTGCAAGCCAGTATTTCGTCAGAACGTGCAAGCCCCACAGTATCACATGCTCCCCTCAGACTCCAGCTGGCAGTGCTCCCATCACTGTGATGTGTGGAAAGAGGTGCTCTCCTGTGCTGAGCCAAGAGATTCCTGATCTTAACCACTGGCTAATTGTCCTCTTTGCAGAGATAGCCTGGGTAGCTTATGAGAGACACTGCCTCCTGTCCACTCTACACCAACACTAGATATACGCACTCCTCCCAAAGCTGAGCCTGAGAGTTCTCATTTTAATAGTCCTCTGAGCAGAGGAGAGTATGAGTTTCATTCTGTGCCACTGTGGGAGGGTCTTGACTATATTTTCAAGCCCCTTTGTTACTAGAACAATAACACACAGTTGAAGGAGCTTACTCCTCCAGGACTGCAGCTCTTTGTGACACATCTCCAGCTCCTTCCCACCTCACCCGCCTCACCCACATCACTGTTTTTGCCTCTAGTGCTGTTCTCACATGCAGCTCCAGCTTCTACTCCGACAGCTTCCTGAGCATCAAAACCACATCTCTGTGATTGGCCCAGTGACATTCGGTACATCCCCATCACATGCTGCTGTCTCTACCAGCCAACACCAGGACTCAACTTTTGAAGCTAACAACTGGGTCCTTTAGACTATGTCTAATACTCCAATCTTCCTCCACAGCTGATGGTGACCATAACTCCACTTTCTGTCTCTGTGGATTCTCTAGGCATTTCACATAAATAGAATCATACAACATGTGTCCTTATATGACCAGCTTATTTCTCTTACCATGATGTCTTCAAGATTCATCCATGTCCTATTATGTATCAGAAGTTCCCTCATTTT